CTCTTCTCGGAAAAATCAGCTTCAATCCTCCACTTCCAGCCCTTAAAAATCAGGTATTAATTGCGAGTGTCTTCTCCGAAAATGCTAGCTAATGATTTGTTTGAGTTATTGTTGGATAAGACAGACATTCTGGTGTTTCTCAGTTTTTTTTCGGTTTATCCGAGAAGGGGCGCTTTGTCGAGGAAATTCAAAATACACTTAAATCTCCTTCAAGTTCGCATTTGTTCAGTTTTGAAACCGGTCGTATGAAATCCAGTTCTAATCATGTAATTGTGAATCTGTTTGGCTCCAATTTAGGCAATTCAAAGAATTCCTGTGGGTTCTATCATAAAGACTGTAACATTTTATCAACGGCCGTTCTGGAGAGAAAAAGGTACAATTTACCTGATAAAATTCAAACTGTGAGAGACCAAACATAGCCAGTTATGAGAGGAAGAAGATCGCGCGAAGGTTATTTCAAGGAATGTTTCATTTTTTTTAGCTCTCAGAGACATTTCTAACCAGCCTAGCGCCTGCGGAACAAGCGGTTAGCGGGACAGAACATGGAAGGCAAGACAAATAATTTTGAATTTTTTTCTTGCGCTCCGTACTCTAACCTACGAAGCCACGAAAAAAAAGATCCCCTAATCGCAGTTTATCCGCGCTCTTTACCGCTAAACCGTTTGTTCCGTAGGCTATTTCATTCAGCGTCCCCGGTAAACGCCTTCGCCAGATAATTTTGCCGCCTTCAAGTTCAAATCATGTGATCACCTTTTGTTTAATTCTCTCATAATTAGAACTACATCATTTCCCACGACATGAGTTATAATTAGGACGAAAACATGAAATTGTAACATCCGAAGTTTCAGGTGATGTCTAAGTGACACGAGTGTTTGTTAGATTTTTTGGTGATGGTAGCACACGAGGTGTAAACAACAAGAGCGTGTTCCCGCTTTGAAGTTTTTTTTTCCAAGATTCACAATAGACCACTCCCCGGAAAAGAATACTCCACTATTGGAATTGCCTGAGCAGTCTGATTACCGTCGTATGTTTTGTTTTGTTTTGTTTTATTATTTTCTCCATTCAGTATGCCATTAATATATTACAAAAATATTTTTTATACTAAGCTTTATTGACTTCCCTGGGCTTCCTTGCCTTCCAGATTTGATATTTGCAAATACATATATTGTGTGGCAAAATGAAAATGAACTTATTAAATTAAACTAAACTAAGCTAATGCATTTTGTTTTGTTTGTTTTCAGGTCTCGCGGGCTATTTCAACTCAGATGAAGGTCCGGTGGAAGAAGGATATGATGACACTAAACCAGATGGTTCACATCCAGCTATAATGGGGTGAAGGTTACCTCACACTAATTAGCTATAGTTTTGAAAAGAGCATTTTGCTGTTTGATTCAATCATGTGCAGTTATAAGCATGCGTAGTAACTTGTGGGGTTTCGTTACTAGGGCCTCCTCAGTTGGTCATGTTGAGGAGCGTCCAGTTTTTCGTGTTTATGCGGCCGACTTTATTTTGTGTATTATGTTTTAATTTTATTAACATGTTTGTAGGTTCATACTGGCAGATCAAGCACGCGAGACAACGACTCTTACAAAACAAGAAAGGTGAGCCTCTCCCGTCCGCAGAAATAATTGGTCTATGTGCTTTGTAATTTATGTATAACCGCTGTCAAGTCTACTGCATGTTCTTTAGTTAGTTATAACAGAGGGAACATAAACGACCGACTTCCTCCTTGTTTAATGTTGTTGCATCTCTATAACCATTTGTTTACAAAGGTAGCCTCTAAACCCACAATTGAATTGGAGGAGAGAGGAATAAATATGTTTTTTTTATCATTTTTGTAAGGAAAATCTTTACCAAATGTCCAGCTTTTCGTTATGTGTTCTTTGTTGTTGACTGAGATTGCGGTACAACTCCCAACGTCGACATTACTTCTTTCCATACCTAATCCATTTTTTCTTTCATTTTTCGTCTTTGTTTTGTTATTTTGATCAGACAGAAACGGGTCTGCGAACAATACGCCAAAATTTATGACACCAAGGAGGCACTGAAGGTGACCATTCTCATTTTTTTAGTATTGTATTCTTGTTTTGATTGCTTGATCCAAACAAAAACCGAAAGGAAGAAAGAAATCGTAAGCATGTACAGGGGTTGTTGTGGTGTCATCTTGGGGCCATATTAGAATATGTAATCATGTTTCTTAGCAACACCGCGGGCCAGGAGCACAGAACCTTCGCAGGCTCTGTTAAAATGTCTTCTTGGGCCTCCTCGTGCAGATGCTGGTTCCATTTCACCGCGTGTGTTGCACCTCCCTAACCCCGCCCTTTTATTATTACTCACAGCGCTTGATACACGGGTTAATCGAGTGATGAAATGTTGTCTCTCTTCAGCCCGTCCTGTATCTTGAGAAGAACTGGATGGCAGATGAATTCGCTGGAGGCTGCTATGTCGGTACATTTCCTCCCGGAGTATTGACAAGTTACGGGAAGTAAGTAATTAATGTCCTATAGTTTAACCTTGAACTTAAGCTATTTGAAGTTTACTAAGGTAGAACTGCAACACCACAGAGGTAATGACCCAAAAAGGAATAAAGATCATGAAGATGGGGAAAGATTGAGATTCTTAACCTGCGACAGAGGTCGTTAAGTATTTAACAACGACGCTTAAAAGAGAAAGCGTAGTTTTAAGAAACATGTTTCCCGCGGGACCATCCTGTGATGCCCAGATCACTTGGGCGTACTAACAAAGGGTGTCAACCGTCCTTGTACTGTTTCGACTCCTGCCGTATTAGTTAATCGATGTCGAATGTAAAACTAGTGTCCTCTGTGTGTAGAGTGTTACGGATGCCTTTCGGTCGGGTGCATTTCGCTGGTACCATTACAGCGTCACTTTGGGCCGGCTACATGGAGGGTGCATTGGAATCCGGGGAACGAACAGCTCTTGAGGTAAATCGCTTCATGTAATATTACTTAAAAGAGCACTCCAGTTGACGTTAAAATTGATCGATTTGATCCTTGCTTAATTTGATAGACTAACAGCCCATCCAGGGGGGGGTGAAGGGGGAGAGGGACAATGCTTACAGTCGCTTCTTGTCGCAGAACTCGGATACTGTTGGATTTATTCTTACCTTAATTATCACGTTTGAAAATACATGAGATCTGTTATACCCAGGCTTTGTCAGGTCACACCGTCAATTAAGGTCAGCGCCGGGTCATGTTAACCCGCCAGGAAAATGTGTTTCAGGTCCTCTGCAGACTTGGAAAGATGACAGAAGAGGAAACCAAGAAAAGACTTAGCCCTGAGGTAAGTCACTTGGAAAAAACCAAGCAAATTAACAAACATGTTCCGTCGCCATTAAATGCAAGTATTTTAAATAGATAAAGGCGGGACTGAATTAAGTAATAGATAAATTAAACAACTGAAGTGTTACGCTGTACTCTGAATTTATTAATAGAGAATAGGCCATTTCGGAGCTACATGTTGTCTCTGTTTCTAAACGAGTCCTCGTGTAAAACTTTTCACATTAAAACGAGTTTGATTTGCATTAAGTCAACGTGAGGGTTGAACGCAGTTTCAATGAATGGAGATTTCACGTTAAACCACTGTATGCTTTGAGTCAGCGTTAAGGCCGTAAATTCTATCAGTTCTGCTTATATTTCTCGTCCCAGTTGTCTATTGTATAAATCACTATCCAGTGAAGAGCGTGGTTTTTCTCTCAAAAGTTAAGTTATCAACTTGATAGCGATTTATCCAGTGGCTCGCTGTATTTACACGTGGAGCAACTGTGCTAGCTCTGGTCTGCGTTTCCTCAACAGGGCTTAGAATCCAAGTTTTTAGAGTTCTCATTCATGGAGAAGTACCTACTGCCGTCTGTTCCAACGTTCTTGGCGTGTTCGTCTGTCCTCGGAGGTGCAGCTATTTTCTCAGTTGTTTGGTGGAGATACCATTCAAATTAAACAAACTTTCATCGGTCAACATGAACTGGAAGCAGCGAAATTTAAAATTAAACCGCATGAAATTGACTGATAAAGCGGTTTTCAATTGCGTTGATTGGTTTTGGTTGACGAAGTGGTGCGAGTTTTTGAAGCCAATCGCTTAGCGAAGTAACGAAAGAACCGAGTCAAATTCGATGCTCAAGTGAAAACCGCCTTAGAGAAAAGGATTCCACCTTGTGATAAAAACCACAATGCTTACAGTCGACTCTCTTAACATGAGCAACGTCGCAAATTTTTCAAGTTCGTCGTTCAAAGTAATCTTTCTCCGTCTACTTTAGTCTCAGCCATCCATATTTCTTCAGTTAAGTTGTTTTTTTCTGTTGTTGCGAGGACATAAAACGGAGACAGGTTGCGGCGACAGTTTTCCTCTTGAGACATGCCCGATTTTGCGGAAAAGTTCTGTTACGGGAACAAGATTTGTCCCCGCGACATGATGTATGAAATTCTCAGCTGGTTTGAATTCGTGCGTCGTGAAGCAGGGACGAAAAGAACCCAATTTTAAGAACACATGTTTATGCCTCAATCCGGTGCGTGTGCACCAGCTTGCGAACTGTTCCTCTAACATGTGTTCTATGCGTACACACAAAGGGGCTTGTTCCCGCTTCACGTGCCCGCATCGTGTCCCCTAGTGTGTCCCGGCGACCTTTAAGAAATAGAAAACACTTTCGTGTTTTTACCGAGTTACAGAGTTACGAGTGGAAGTTTGAAAGAAAAGGAATGCTGTGAGACCCGTGCCGCAGGCAAGTGTTTCTAAAGCTTTCTCTAGTTTCTTCAAACGTTCACGGGAAAGAAAACACTACGAGAAAAAGAAAAGCAAAGTCGCTCGTTTATTCGCGATTATCAAAACGTAAGTGTATCAATGAAGACAGAAATCGTGAATCTATGGTTGGACTTGATCAAAGAGTAAATTTTTAGCTGTGTTGTATTTTAATTGTTGGTTTTCATCGTTTTGTAGTTAATAGTTTCTTGTTTCAAGGTTTTTATGATTGCAATAGAACTTTCAGTGCTTTTTCTCTCTAATTATTTATAATTGTACAGTTTTCTTCATGTTAATTTTATCAGGGCCTCTATTGATCTCAGGTGCTATTTCTTCGGAGATTGCAACCCCGATAAAGAGCGTTTTCACTTACACGGCCAGCAGCCATGCAGAGTTATTGGAACGAAATAAAGTGTTTACACAAGAAAAGAGTTCAACTCCCACAAGACTGGTTTGGGGCACCAAAGCCCCGTCCACACTACCTAAGATAAATTTTGAAGCGCAGCCCTATTTCTACGGTTAGGCCTGCCGTTCACACTGATCCGTCACGTTAACGGAGCTTTTCGAAAACGCTCTTCAAACCGAAGGAATTTGAAAAAGCTGGCTTTGCGTTTTAGTGTGGACGGAAAACATTTTGAAGAGCTTTATCGAAAACGATGACGTCACGATAATCAGATGATTTCCCTGCTCGAGTTTTCCTCAAACATAAATCTAAAATGACCGCTGCTTGTTGCATTTTCAAATCTTTTTTGACGTAGTGTGGAAGGAAAACATTTGATACGTTTTCAGAGTAAAAACGCTTTTTTCAAATTTCTCTGGCGTAGTGTGGACAGGGCCCAAATGGCCTCCGTTTTGGGACAGCTATGTCTGCCGTGACGTCTTGTGAAAACGCTCTATAAATAACCCTTTTCACAGTTAACATTTCTTATTTGCATTACAGGAAAATTCAATTTGTAGACAAGGTAATTTACGAGGTAAAGGTAGCCGAAAATGCCTCGTATTCACTTTGGATTATGTTGTAATTCATTAAATGCGAAAAGGTAACTGTGAAAAAGCTTATTAAATATATGTTTCTATATCTATTTGTCAAGAGCTCGTGTTAGTGCTGTGTTTCTGTCGAGTATTAATAGAAGTACGGCTTGCTAAAATATCCCGAGCTTGTTTATGTTTATGTTAAACATAAACAAGACATCCAGCATAGTGATTTTCCGCTTGCGCTCACCGCTTACCCTCGGCGTGGCCGCGTTAACGTGAGATGAGAGAAAGTGTGACATTTTTTATCATGCTTCGGGAAAATCGCCGGAAAGCAATGGCGCGTTTTATATATACAGAAATGTACAATATCATGGTGATTCGAGACAAAATAACATGATAATGAAGGCAACAAAGAACATGAGTGAAAATCAGCGCACTATTTTCCTGGGTTGACGCTGAAAAATAGCAGCCTTAAAATGTTTCAATTAATTTGAAACTCCGGGATTACGTTGAATATGAATTAATCTCATTTGAGGGCCGAGTTTAAAAGAAATTCATCGACCACTTTTTTAATTTTCGCCTCAGTGTAAAAACATAGCCAAGTTTTGACAAAAAAGCAAAATAGCCACCTTATTCAAGTTCATATTTTTCGAAATCAAAAGAGGCGATTTTGTTCCACGTTTCAGGAAATGTGGTTCATGTGTATAAAAATACCATGCGCTCCAAATGCGCTTCCCATAAGCCTGGCGAACGTGTACTAGAGCGACTCGATTAGATTTGTTTCATACAGACAGCTTTGGCATTTAAAGAAACCGGAAGTGCGCCCGATATATATTGGAAGTTACCCTATCAGCACGTGCGCAATTTACACTACCAGCGCACTTCGGTAAGATCAGACAAAGCCACACGGAGTTAGTTTTTCTTCTTTCTATTTGCTTGTACTTTTGCTACTTTGCATTTTGTGAAACACACACACACAAAAAACAGCTTAAATGTAAACGAATTTGCAAGTTATTCAGTTGTTTTTATTTTCCGCGTTCAGGCTGACGTAAGTAACCGGAAGTGAAATTTCACCTCCTTAGCAACGCGCGCTAGCGCGCGCATAAATCGGTTAATGGGCCCTTAAGAGGTCTTGATAGTAGGAATCTTCCCTCTTGCAGATAATGGAATTTGAGTGACGTGTATGACAAGCAAGCCATCGCATGGGCCGCGTTCGATAGATGTCTGACATGTCATTACATACATCACTGATATTGATATACTGCTGATCTTCTTGTCACTTGTCAATTGTCATTAACATAAGCTAATCTTACATCAAACCTGAACTTTATACGATATTAGTTCTTCATGTTTTAGCCAGGACCAGGTATCACTCATTACATCGTCTGGAATTTTTTTGTGTGTGTGTGTGTGCCTCAGTTCTCTGTGGGCAGGGCGTTTATTCCTCCGCGTGAACCAACAGATATATCGGTTTTATTGCACGGCGCTACGACAACTTTTGTGAAAATGTTCCGTAGAAGAACGCATCGCCCTGACAGCATTTGGTCGTGGTTCGCTTGTGTCTGTGCCTCTATTTATCAAGCTTCAAGCCTTGGTTTTTCCCTTAGCTTTGGAATTATGTTGCCAGAACTGATGAAACAATTTGACGAGGGCAGGCAAAAAACGGGTAAGTGGATCACTCGAAAATTCATCTTATTTCGGCGGTCGTAGCCCCAAGTAGACCAAGGTCGTGGCCCGCGGTACCATCAAAAGATGCGATAGTGTAATGAATACAGCATAATGGTAGTGCATTACGATTATTATATGACCATTCGAATCCTTACTGATCAGTAAAATTATACGATTTTTATTGATGTGGTTAAAAGATGTTTACCAACACGGACGAACGAACATTAGACTAATGTGAATTTAAATAAGTATGCTTCATTGGCGACGATTGCAATATAAAGGGATATTGTCGGGAAGCTTGATATAACCCTTAAAAACAAAAGTTGCATTTCTAAGATTAAAATCCAGGTTTCAAGAATTGGAAATGGATAACATCCATGAAATATCGATAACAACGCATGTCTGCCTCATGCAAATATTATTGAAGAAGAACCTGTTTGAGTAGGCACTGAATCAAATCATTCTATGGTTGAATGTTTACATTGAAAATTAGTTTTTCTGCTATACCTGAGGCCGGCTGCAGCCTTTGACAAATAATTAGAAACTTGCGAATGTATGGGTATATATAAACGNATTAAAAGTAGCTAAAATAATAATAATGAAAAAAAATTAAAAAAGAATCCAGGAGCGCTTTTCATTCGACCAAAAATCCGGAAATTTCCTGGGGCGAATGGAACAAAATTTTACGGTTGACTGCACCAGAGTGGAAAACGTTAAGCGCCTTTACGTATCATTCCGTACCATTTGTCCCTGTTTGGAAAATTTCGGAATTTGTGGTTGAATGAAAAGCGCCCCAGTTTTGCCTGGGCTTGATGCTGTTATCTACTTCATTAGTGGTGGCAGTGTGCCATGGAATCGCCTTTGGCAGTCAGGCGATTATTTGGCCAAAGTTGGTTAGAAATGTTGGATCCTTTATAATTAAGAATAAAATAATTCGATCTCGAATTTCTATCATGAGAATGTTGACAAGGGCCTTCGAATCGACCATCACACATAGAAATCGAGAGCTTATACCTTTTTTTTATTATTATAAATCAACTAGCAGTTTAAAAATGTTTTTATCTAAACCCCTTTACAGAAATTCCGAAAACGAAGCGGACTTTGCTAGGCTACCCACGATCTATAACATGATATTTAGTGAGTAGCATAGCCAATCTGAGGAAAACCACATTCGTGATAGAACACCAGCAGATTTATACTAACTGTTCTTGGACTGTTATCGACCAGTCTTTTCTCTTAGGATCAAACAAGTGTTATCTACGAACGCGAACTCAAAGAGGCGGTGTCAACAACAACAACTAACTTTATTTGCATGACCATAAATACATGTACATACTGGTTGCAAAAGCCTCTGTAAATTTTTGTCAACGCCGCCCCATGTCTCGTCCCAATCCCCCCTAGTCTGAAACGTCTCGCCCCATCACACGACCAACGCATTGAGCAACATCTCGTACTCCCTTCTTTCTGAACAGTTTTTCACGTTACTAATGTTTTCTTCTTCAGTCGATATGGCTCCTGGAGCAGTCTTTGCATTTGTTTGTGAGTTTTGTTATCCAATAACGGTATTCGAGTTATCGATGACTCGAATACCGCTTTTACGAAGAACCCTTTACAAGCCGTGTTCCGGGAGAGGCCATTGATGTAAAGAAGGTAGACGGGGTCAAAACATGTGTTCGGTGGATCGGCCCCCTTATAAAACAGATCGAGTAGTTTTTTTCGCAGGGATTGCTTTTACGGGAGGTTTCAACTTTAAAATATCGGTAGTAAACCATTATAGCTTATGAAGAATCCCCGGCACATATCCGAGACATACATTTCCTTAGATTTTCCTTCAGTTGAACTCAGAAGGTTAGAAGCTGACTTCGTGTTTCTTAACTTCTCGTGATGAAAACGAAAATCCAGATATCTATCAGTGTACATGTGTTGGTTTCCTGTAGACATCAATAAGGACAAACCGTCATTCTTCGTGCTGCGGTGTTTCTAGAATCTAACTAAGGTTATTTGTCTATTGTTCTCAGTTTCACTGGTGAAAGAAACCTTAACGGGTCGATGCCCTGAATTAAGGGTGTATTGATTATGACAATACTGTAATTTATAAAGGATTCCTATTCCATCCTATTCCACTCTTGAACAAACAATCGATTCCTTTAAAATAGCTTCTCCTAAATACTTAAAATTTTCTCGTTTTTTATCACCCTCCTTGTACGTTTTAATTCATTTAGTTTATCACACATATATTCTTAAGCTTCGTCTGCGTTACGCCGGACAAATATGAAAACGGCGTTTTCACTCTGGAAGCGCATGAAATATTTTCTTCCACCCTTCACCGGAGGAATTTAAAACCGCGACAATCACCAGTCCGTTTGGATTTGTGTTTGAGGAAAACTCCAGCAGGGAAATCACATGACGTCATCGTTTACGGAAAGCTCGATTTTCAAATTGTTTTTTCGTCCGCACTAAAACGATAAGCTGGCGTTATCAAATTCCACAGTTTGAAAAGCGTTTTCGAAAAGCTGCGTTTTCGTGACGGGTTAGTGTGGACGGTAGGCCTGACCGTAGAAATAAAGCTGCGTTTTCGTGACGGGTTAGTGTGGACGGTAGGCCTGAC